GTCCAGACGAATCAGGGTTTCCAGCAACTCCTCGAAAACTTGTTCTTGAGGCTGTTGGTTGGGAGGCGACTGCTCCATCTGCTCGTGTAGAAGAATACCAGCGTCGTCAGGCGTATCTGGCGAGATGAATATCTGACGAAAATCAGGAGGGCGAAACAACACATCGCTCATGGTTTGCGCAATAGTCATCCATGCTGCCAGGGATCACATTTCTTGTGTATCGAAGACCACGCTCTTACGAAATGGCCTGGTCTGTCGGTGTTTTGTACACCATGCGATGTGGTTACGTGACTTCTCGAACTTTTGTGCCTGGTCCTGTTGCGAAACCAAGAGACGCAGACAGATAGAGGGCAGCGCCTGCCAAGGCATCGAGAAGTTCAAGAAACTATGGCGAGCCAGGAAACGAGCTTTTTCAAGGGGAGGGGACTCCGGGGTGGGTGAGCCACTTATCGTATGTGAAAAGCTGCAATGTGCGAAGTCACATTGATCACTGAGTGCCGTGCGGACGAGAGAGAGCAGAGAAAAACATTTGACGCGTTTAAAGGAATTAAGTTCAAATTGTCCGTAGACCATCCCTGGCACCCTGGTACCTTATACAGTGACGATTCCGCAATAGTTCAAAATAACGCTTTTGAATGGTTTAAAAGGAGCCTCGTCGCAAAGCTGTAACTCCCACAGTACTCCCTTTGCCCCCATTTGTGACCAAAGCATGTACGCTATGTGAGCACGGGAGACGTGCAGCAGAATGGTCCGAGGCAGCGCCTGCCGCACGCGTTTCGTCGCGCGTCGAGTGACCGGAGGCTCTTGAACGTGCATTTGCTAGAACACATGAGATTGGAGCACTTGATTAATTGCAGCGTACATCCGCAACGTTTACCAAATTTCATCAATAATTGAAAATCTAACGATGTTTCTCTTGATAGTAACACACAATTGTTTGGCGGATCCATAGACGCAACTTCAGGTAATGAACAAGCACGAAAGAAATCAAATAAGGCAGTTATTCTCCCTATGTTTGTGTGATTCACATGATTCGCGCAGTCGTCAGCGTCAACATTTAATAGATGAATGGTCAAGTTTTCCTGTGAGCTGCTGTAAAAGATGACACACCAAGAGCAAATGTTAGAGACCCTAATGAAGTTCATGCTTTAATGAACCCTTTCATTCTTTATGGAAAAACGAAGAAAAAACTAAACCGTAACTGCACACAAGACTCGACCCTGGGATGCGATAGGCGTAACTTCATTCGAACTCAGAGGCAACTGCGCTTTTGGTGAGACACTTTTACTTGGGACTATTGTAGCAATGTCCTTGGTCAACGTAAGACAATATAATAATTGTTTCAGTTCCGATCCCATTTATCCCATAAGCTATCTTTATATCTAGTTCGTTACGGACGGTTGGGTGTGTCAGGCAGTATGAGTGTGTCACGCCGTCAAAGCCGTTCTCTGCCTTCTTGTTGAAAGCGACAAAAAGTGGTAGAAAACGAGTAATACGAACGATATGATACAGTCATATCATTTGCTCGCTTTAACAACTGGTGGAGAACGGGTTTGGCACCGCGCCAAACTCATCCGCCTGACACGCCCAACCGTCCGCAGCAAACTACACTATACCTCCCAGCAAAATGGCGCGTATAAACTCCATGCGCAAGAAAAAGACGATTGTAGAGAAGTACCCATATAGACTGGTGGGTTGGACATCGTCCATTATATAGTCCAGGCAGTCGTCCAACTATGTGTGGCACTTTCGTTGTCCTTGTCCAATTTTTAGCGTGTAGGAATGCCTTTCCTCAAATGGTGTCTAATGTAACCTGCCTTCATTTTCTGGCCTTGAAAACCCTAAAATTGTAAAAGGTAAGAATTTCCATCGTCTTATTATTTAGTTTTGTACATCATTTGCCGTTCACGTAACACAAGCGCCAGCCGAATTCTGGCTATCGATCAAAGGAATGATTGCTTTACGAATATTGTTGCCCTTGCTGGAGCCTACATCGGTCATAAATGGTGGAAGTACGCCGATCCCATTGGCGCTGCAATCGTCAGGTAGGCTCAATTTCGTTACTTACTAATTGTACGTAGTTAAATGGAAACTACCCCGGTTTTTCCGTTACTTACTCAAAGACAACTGTAAGTCACCATTGTGGATCCTGGTGCTCGCCGTGTGTGGGTGAATGAGTCAACAGCTGCAGTAGCCTATGACAGTAGCTCCCCTTCCCCACCCAAGTGCACGGTAAAGGGTAGTCTAGGTAGTAAGGGTAGTTGGCTGGAAGGTAGTGATGCGCAAGTTGCCGTCCCCATGCTCCGCCATCGCTCGCATAGAGTCATATTTGCGGGTTTATGGCCCCGCGTGGTGCTTCTGAATAACGCGAATTTGAATAGACTGATTTATTAGCAGTATGAATGAGATCGATTCGGTCGTTGAGTATCGGAAGTGAGTTGGACCCATGAGGCGACAGTCGTGGAGGAGATCATCTGGGGACGAGGAGTCGAACGGACGAGCTGGACGGTGGTGGGATCCGGATGCCGAGAAGAGCCTCGATCAGCTGCCGCAAACCTTAAGGCTGCGTTTACCTTTGCGGCAGCGTAGCGTAGAGCTTCCAGCGTATGCCGGGGAGAGGATGCATATCGATCTAGCATTCCCAGCGTCACCAGCGTTTTGCTAGCGTTACGCCAGCGTTTCTCCAGCGTTTCACCAGCGTTTTGCTAC